TCGTCTAAACCAATAGGTTTGTTTGTTAAATATATAACTGAAGTGTAAATTTTTAAAGAATCACTGATTTGAACAAAGACTGGTTAAAAATAACCATGGGAAAAAAATCTGACAAAAACACCCCGATATAAATTTATATGCTTTAATAAATAAAAGGAAAATGTAATCCTCGTTTTAAACTTTGCCCTTTAGTGTAATACTTGAGTATTATTTTATAATAGTACTTTTCTAATAATGTTGCTCATCAGAAATGATCATATTTGTAAGAAGAAACAACTATATGACTCAAGGGCTAGGAATATGAATTTTAAAATAATTTTATAATGCATGACGAAAGGTAGTTATTTTTGAAATATTAATCGTGGGATTGATGTGGTAGAGAAAGACTGTGTCACACACATATAAAAGAATTTGTAAATACCCTCATAAAATCTGTCTTGATGAATGAGTCTTATGTAACCAGCTAAGTTTTATACCAAAGTATCCTATATTATTGTCACAAAAAAATAATAAAAATATAAAAATTTTGAGACTATTATATAAAAACAAACAAAATTTTTATTATTGTAGATAAGAATTTAAAAAATTAAACATTCAATGTTATATTAATAGCGATTCCTTTAAGATAATCTAATCTTGATCGATTTTCGAAGTCAGAAACTATTGTTACTATTCTCGCATGTAGATTTCGATATTTTTTTCTCGGGGTAGAGGGTGTTTCACCAGAATTATATTGAGCAATTTTTAACTCTGTCAACCCTTGTTGTTTTTTTAAGCCTAGAAAAAATTATATAGTTTATTAGTAAATCTTTATACTTTTTAAATCATTTTAAAATAATAGATATATAGATAACTTGATATAAATTTCCACATGTTTGGATGGTAACTTGTTAGGAGGGAACTGAAGCATCTATGCCACCCTTCAACCGCGTTGTTGGTTTTCGCTTCCCCGTTCAGTGTTGATTGGTAACAATTCCAGAGTTCAATATTAAACAAAGCAGGTAGTCTGCCTCTTCCAAACGTTTTACCAATATAAGCTTTTTCAAAAGTTTCAATTAGAGGCTGAAGTAACAATTGATTATTAGAATAAAATTCGGAGTTTATTAGTAATTCAAATGTTTCAACTACATTTAAGGGTGGCACAAACGCCAAACAAACCATCATTCTAAGTTGTATATTAAATTCTACATCTGTTTTATATTTCTGGATATTTTTGAATGTTTCGCCAAAAGGATTTACCAAAATGAAAATAGCAACATTTGTGTTGCGAATTGGGAAACACTTCATTGAAAGCTTTTACACTGGCCATTTCAAAATCCGTCATAATTTTTTTTTGGAGTTGATATTAAGTTGTCACCTATAATAGTAAATATTCTTTTATAAGTTTCATAATCCTTTCTATTGGTCAATATATATATGAGAGGTAAAACATTATTATTTCTAATCCCATGAATTGTATAAATTTGCATAAATAAAGGTGGCGACGATTTAAATGTACCATCAGAAAACCAATGTTCGCATGAAGCTAAGAAGTCCAAAGTTTCAAATATGATAACACGGTCGGGAACCTGACACACATGATAAATAAATAAGCAATTATAATAAAGTGTTTCTTATCGGACAGCTTATCGCAATAAAAATGAAGGATTTAGTTATATTTGTTCAAAAAATTTATAGAAAATCTTACCGGACCATCATCATGAAGTATGAAATCCTCATATTTATCTGTAATTGAATATTCATGCGGAATTACCAGCTCAATAAGGCTGCTAGGATTCGGAGGTGCAAAACTTGAACTCCACGATCGGTGAATTATACGTTTCATAAGATTCGGTGATGGTAGTGCCATTGATATAGAATCACTTAATTGAGATACGTGTTTCGCCACAATAAAGTTTGGAGTTTCCATCGTATTATTCAAAGCTTCATTCTTAATTGAATTGATTATTTTCTTGGTTTCCATTTCAATTGGATTTTCTGGATGATTGTGTATTTCTTTATTATCTTTTATCTTACCATTTTTTTTTGTAAGTCGTACAGGACATTTAAAAATATCCTGATTGATACATCTATAATAATTAGTATCTGAGACTACTTTATCCAGGCGGAACAAATAATTTTTAAAGGTTAAGATCTCCTTATTTTTGCTTGATAACATATTTTATAAGACTCCGAAATAAAGAGGAAAGAATGGCGAAAATATTTATAATTTATAACCAAAGGAATGGCACCAGCCAGACGAGAAAATTTTTTTTTTTAAATTTCGGCAATACTTTTTTTTAAAAATAGTTATATAATTTATCAAATCATTAATTATTTGTTAATTTTTAGTGTAGCTATTTTTTTTATTATATTTTAAAATTATTTAAGATTCAATAAGAACCCATATCAAAATATTATATTTAAATTAATTGAAATTAATGCCGAGTTATTATACTAAAAATTATATCACGCCCCCTCCCCCCCCCCCCTTCAAATAAACAGAAAAAAAAAGATATCTATAAAGATCGTAAAATAATAAAATTAATAAATATTTTAAATTGGGGAAATCCCTTATTTCACTTAGATGTAATTTATTTTTGAATTGCCATTCAAAATTGATATTCTAAACAGTAATGTTGTAGACTTTATTCATCTACACTGTTTAAGAATAGTGACTGCCAAAACCACGGTTGTGCATTTGACCGGTCAAATATAGTTAAAATCAAATAAATATTATTTTATATTGAATATCATCATTTTCTTTAATATTTTTTAATCAAAAATCTTCAATCGATTTCTGTTTTAGTAAGATTATTGACACAAATCGACCAATTTCTTTCTGAAGAAGAAGTAGATCTAGAAATTGTTAGTAATGTCACTTCTCTTAATGGCCATGGTGGTCAAAGCTAATTCCACTGCTTGAGTTTGAAATCTGATTGTTTCTTATGGAAGTTACTGCTATCCCCATGATTTTCTATTAAACAAGCCGCTTTTATTTCTGAAATTTATGATATAACTTGAAATATTTTGATCACCACCTTGTATGCCTAATTCTTTTATTATATTACATACTTCATTAAATTCACTATGATTAAAATGCTCTCCTTAATATTAGGAACTCAATAAGCATTGTCATCACATTTCACATGTATTTATATCGTTTTTTCTTTTTCAAACATATTTTTATATTCAGATCTTATAGAATATATGACCACTTGACCAGGTCAAATATTCTCCCGTTCAATTGACCCGTCAAAATCTAGTCATTTGACTGACTTGCTAACCCTGGCCAAAATTGATTGATAAATTTATAAATATTAAGTCATCAGACAATAAATAGGAATGCTACCCAGATATCAATTTCGCCAATAAATATCAAGATTTAACTAATAAACTCAATGATTAATATATTGATAAAGCTGAGTTCCTTGTGCGCGATTATTATAAAATAAGAACTTCGAAGGAAAGGATAGGATAGCGAAAAAAGTGTATTTTTCAATAACAAATTTCATAAACCAGATCTAAGTTAATTAATCATTGTAAAAAATTTTTAAGGTTATAAGAAAATTACAAACTATGTGAATTAAAAAAATATTATTCAAATAATATAATTATAAAAAAATGATTCAAAATAAATTAGTCATTATTAGCAATTATCGCGATATTAAATTCTCTATAATATCTTCGCGATATATGTTTCGCGAAATAATTGTCGCTACATTGTCTTCGCGATTTGGGTTTCGCGATAATAACTTAGCTATAAAATTTTCGCGATTATTGATTCGCGATTAAAGTTTCGCGGTAATGTATTCGCTTTAAAGGTTTCGCGATAAAGGTTTCGCTATAAAATTTTCGCGATTATTGATTCGCGATAAAAGTTTCGCGGTAATGTATTCGCATTAAAGGTTTCGCTATAAAAAATTCGCGATATTTATTTCGCTATATTGTATTCGCGGTAATGTATTCGCTATAAAGGTTTCGCGATAAAGGTTTCGCTATAAAAAATTCGCTATATTTGTTTCGCGATATTGCATTCTACGGAATAGTATTCGCTATTATGGATTCGCGATAAAAGTTTCGCTATATAATCCATTCGCGATAAACGACATTCGCGATAAAAGTTTCGCGAAAAAGTGTTTCGCGATAAAAGTTTCGCTGAATTGACATGGAACCACTGGTGAACATACAAATAATATAATATATTAATTATAAAAAAAAACACTAATAAAATAATATTTAACACTATTATATTATCTATACTGTAAAACAATTTTTAATATCAATTAAGAATTAATATTATATATTTATATTTATTTATATTGAAAACATCTGTAATTATAAATAGGCGAATATTTCGGTTTAATTCATTCTATAATATTTTAAAATAATAGCCTTATCTTCGGAGTTTATTACATTCCTAATAAAAAAAATTGATTTTTTTTTGTGATAATAACAAAAGAGAAGTCGAATATAAAAATAAAATAGATGACAAAATAAAATAAAACTATTCTTAACCAGAGTTCGAAACTGAAACCCTCAGACAAATCTAGGAACCATTAAATATTCTTTTTATATCCCTTATGTGATTAATGTGTTTTATAACCAGTGGATTTAAAACTTATACTATCTTTCCCTGGTTAGATTTACTCTAGATTTCTTACCAGTAGGAGGAGGGGGTGGGGCTTCTCAAAAGGATGGGTTCTTCGTATGAGGATACTCTTGGCTTCTACGTTATGTTTATGTAGGAATTGTTACTCCACAGCTTGCTTTCTAGTTGAATAAATAAACTTCAAGAATTTAACCCATACCAAAATAATTCTTTTTTTTTACAAAATGAAACTTAAAACTTTTAAAAATTCCTATAGTTCCTTAAGATTTCTATTTGATTTTATTATTTAATTTAAATTATAGTTCCTTTTTTAAATATATATATTATTCATTTGCGCATGCTTAACAATTAAATGAATAATATATTTTAAATTTAATGCTTTTAATCAACCCCCCCCCCCCCCACATAGGTGCTTTTGCATTCAGAGCACTAGAATACCCGAATGAGAGCATGCTCTTCGTCGATGTCTATCAACTTAGACTTGACTCGGCAGAAAAAATCTGGAAGATTTCTAAAAAACTAAATCCGTCTAATCGACACGTTTACACGAGTGCCGTTAGCAAGGAACTGCTCAGCTATCAGATGCAAATTATAAAATTGGTGCAGCGAAATTTCAACGGTACCCATATAAGATCAGACGATTTTCGTCCTCGATGGTCCCTCAACGATGCCTTCTTGTACTCTCTTACCGTGATAACGACTATAGGTAATATTGATAACTTGTAGATTAATAATATATTACCATAGGTATCATGATTGATGTGCCTTTATTTAGAATAAAGGCGAATATTCTTTAAAAATAGGAATGTATTCGAAATTTTTTTAAAGAAGAATATTCGAATAATTTAAATGGAAAATTGAATATGAATACATTATTATTCGAATCACATACGAAATATAAATAGGATAAATTGAATATTCATTTTGAGGTATATCATTAATGCTCTTATCATTTCGATGAAATCCAAAAGTCGTAAAAAATTTTGAGTGTAAAGATTTGAATCCCGGCTTTTATAATACTAAACAGATATATATCTATATCTTGTATTCTTGTCCTCGTTTAAATTAAATTCATGTTTAATTCAATCTTTAATATCTTTATTTACCTATGAAAATAATATAAGGTTATGGAAACATGACGCCAAAAACTATATGGGGAAAAATTGTAACTGTAATATACGCCATATTCGGTATACCTATCCTATTGTTGTATTTGACGAATATCGGCGGATTTTTGGCTCATCTATTCAAGTTTCTCTACTTTCGAACCTTAATAATGTGTTCGGGAACAAATAGAGCAAGAAAACGGAAAGCAAACATTCGAGTAAGAGAGATATCAGAAATGATTAGCGAAAGTGAATCCATCCCTTTAAGGACTGAGAAAAATAAAAAAAGTTTTTCCAAATTTAACAACTCTTTAGATTTTTACTCTCAACCATTACTAATTTCTCCTAATACTCTGCTGAAATGCCAATCGTCAAGCGAGGATACCAACCAAATATCAGATAAACGTAAGAAAAAAGGCAAAAACAAAGGTAAAGGTTTAACGGGTGATAGTGAAGCCACTTCATCTTACCTTAAATCATCACGAAGATCGCATACACCATCCAGGGAATCGTATAATCCTATGATTCTGGAAAACGAAATTCAATCAATATTGATAGGTCAGCATAAAAAGATTCGGAATTCTAAAATTGGTAAATACCATAAGAAAGATACGAAAGCTACCTCTTTGAAATACAATAAACAAGACGAAGTACATGATTTGACATTGATCAATATCCCTAGCGAGAACCGTGCCAAATGTCTCAGTATTTATAAACCCAACTGCCGCAATAATTCTGTCTTTGCTCAAGATTTACTATCTAGTAATGTCAATAATTTTAACTCTCTTTTAGCGGAGGCAAGATCTTCCAAGAATTCAGCTTTAATTGATTGGTTAAACACCAATGATGAACAAATCTCTAATTCAAATGATACTCCCTACGTAAGCAAGAAACGCAAAGATAAAGCTCATAGAAGTATCAGGGACCTGGTAGTCATGAAAGGGCGCAGAAGTACTGCCACATTAAAGAGGAGCAAGTCTCTCCCTAGCGCTCCAAATTTGCACCGCAACAAGCATGGCGGGTTCGGAATCGGACCACGTTCTTATTCCAAGATAACAGTTCCGATGTGGCTGAGCATTTCCGTACTCATCCTGTATGTGTTGGCCGGAACAATCTTATTCTCTACATGGGAAGAGTGGGACTACATTGATGGCTCCTACTTTTGTTTCATAACCTTAAGTACTATAGGATTTGGAGATTTGGTTCCAGGTGACAAAGTTATGGGTGAATACGAGAAAGATGCCATGCAAAAACTAGCCATAACCTCGCTTTACATTTTGACTGGAATGGCTATTATAGCAATGTGTTTCAACCTGATGCAGGAACAGGTCATAGAGTCTGTTAAAAAGTTTGGGGTTAGGATGGGAATCGTTGTGATCGAAGAAACTGATTAAAGAGAGGGAAAGGGGGGAATTCTGAAGAGGCTCATAATGTGATTGAATATTTTTTTTAATTTCCATTGTGAATATTATACATTTACGATATTTAATTCGATATTATATTTCTCATTAATGTAAATTTTATGATAGTAATTATTGTTATATATGCCCGTTGTTATGTATTTAATAGTTGCATAAATCTTTTGTTAAATCCACATTAAAATAATTTTAAAAGTTTCAAATTTGTATAGAATTTTGTTGATAAAATAGGGATATATAATATATAACTTAATCTTTTTTAAACATTTTGCTATAAAAATGATTATATAAAAACTGTAATTATGTTTTTAAATATTTAAGTTATCAGGAATAAAATAAATTTCCATGTTCACTTGGAGGCATAATTACTCAAAATGCATACAAAATAACAAAAAATTGGAACTCTTTAGAATTTAATTTCTATTGTTTAAAAAATGATAAAATCTTTTTGAAATTTTAGATATAGATAAAATACAAAAAAATGTTAGTTAAATCATGAATTAAATTTTCCCACTATTCTTTATTGGCGCTGTTTGACATAGTTATATAGCCAATAATGGGCATACTAATAATAAAATTAGTGACATCACTAGCTTCTTCAATTGGGAAGATAGGGGGGGGGGGGGTTCATCTTTTGAAAATTTACAAAATTAACTAGGAAAAAAGAATCTATTTAAAATATGCAAAAAAAAAATTCTATCTGAAATTTGCAAATATTCAAAATTTTTCAAGCGGAGTCCCTCTACACCCCTCCTCCCCCCCCCCTTCAATTAACAATTATCATAATAAAAATACTATTTAAAAAAAAATGAAACTAACAAATAATTTATAACTTATAAAGGATGAATGACATGTTTCTATTAGAGGTGGGTGGGGCCTAATTTTTTACTCATGGCCCATCCGCTTACCGTGGCAAGGAAAAAAATCACGCTATTACACGTGGCTGCTCAAATTTTTTGACCCGACCCACCGCTCTTAAGATAATATTCTGTTTACGCCTGTCATGCCCAAAAAATTCATGTATTTTATGCCTTTTTGAATTTATACTTTCTTACCTTTCAGTTTTTTATTAATTACATTTTTTTAATTCTGCTCTTTCAATAAAATAATTATCCATTTATTTCAAATTTTTATATAAAAAGAAGAAGAATGTATTTTTTATTTATACAATGTTCGTCTTTCCTCTAATAAGAAATCTTTCACTGGAAGCCGAACTTGCGGAGCCAATAAAATTTTACTGGCTGATTTTCTATGGAAGGAAATTTTTCTGCTTTCAAAACCTTGTTATTTGTTTTATGCTCAATGAAATTTTTTAGTTTATCCTCATAACTTTCATTGGTAGATGTTGATGCTTCATCAGAATCAGAAGAAATTATCTGAATGTTTGAATAAGGGTACGTGGTTTTTTATGGTGTAGTTAAATTAGAAAATTTTAAATGAGAGGCATTGTCTGTTGCATATCATCGAATTTTAAAACATTTAGCATTTACAAAGTTGTTGCAAATATGTCTGTCTTTACTGCATCGGTTAAAAATTTAAGACTTTTAAAATTTGGATCTAGAATCAAGCCTAACTTATATAGTAGCTGCATGATAAATCTTTCTTTTATAAGAAATATTGCTTTGTTTTTAGGGGTTTTATTGTTATTGTATCATGAAGTTGACAAAATTTTATTATTTTTTGTTTCCATGGATAAACTTTGTGAAATTGGAAACTGCACTGCGCTCAGATTATCTGAGCATTCTTTGAATATTAGTAGAAAATTATCTAACTCGCGTATGATGCTCATATCAATTATCTTTAATCTGTTTAATTCTTGTTTGCTAAGCACGTATATGAGCATACGATTTTAAGAAATTTGTCCCATGATATATATATAGGGTTCCATCTCTTTATTATATCTTGCTTAAGGGAATATCTTAGCTTGCTATTTGCTGCAGATTGCATTGCTCAAATATATCTGTTTACACCATTTATACTTGAAGCTATTTCGGGTAAGCAATTATCAAAAAGATGCATCATTATATGTAATATATGACATGAACTTGGTACTCCTTCATCATCTTTGAAGACACATATAAGATATGTGCCATATAAGTCACTACTATACATTTATTTATTTTTTATTTAAAACTTATAAAAAAAATTTAAAAAATTACATATAAATCAGGGCTTCGAGCCATTAAGTATAGCGGCTTGGTTCGTTTCGGTTTTTAGTTTAAAATTTTATAAAGGCTTTGTTCCATTTCGGGTTTTTTTGAAGAAATTCAAATTTATAACGGTTCTTTTCTGTTAGTTCCGGTTTTTTATCAATTTAATTATTAAAAAAACCATATATATATATATTAATCTTAGAGAAAAATCTTTTTAATTTATATTTTTATAATTCCTTATTTAATTTAACCATGAAGATTATTTCTTATCTAATTAAATAGTAATTTAATCTCTATTAAATTGAGTATATAAAATAAAAACAATCAACTTGGTACTGATTGATATCAAGATAATGACGATTTAATTGTATAAAAAATTTTAATTTGAAAAGAAATTGTTAATTTAAATTTCCCAAGGAAAATTAAAATTTCAAATTTATGTTGGTTACGGTTCAGAAAATTATAACGATTTGCGATTCGGTTCGAAGCCCTATAAAATACTATAAAACTATATTAAAATAAAATTTAAAGAGTACATTTAAAAAATCAGATATTAAAATTAAAAAGTTTATATGAAAACTGAATAAAACCATGAAATGATAAAAAATCTACAAATTTCCATTTATTTATATAATTTGCTTTTGTATTCTGCTAAAATAAAATTAACTACACTTTTAAATATTGTTGTCGCTTTTCATTTATATTTGTGACCAATGTTTATAATTCAAAATCCGTATTAATATTATGGCCTATAATGATTAAACACTTCGTTTTAGAGTCATCCAAGTAATGGTTACTGTGTTTTAATCTAAATTTCATAATACATATAACTGCTAAAACTCTTCATTGTCTGTTATATTTAGAGGTCGAAGATCTTTCAAAATAAAATATAGCTGACTTTTTTGTAAGACTGTCTTTGATTTGTCTGAAATTGTTTTTTATACATATTATATAATGTATGATTAAATTAATTTTTTGTATTCACATTTATACCTTAATAAACTTCTAATATTGTTTTAAATTTATATTTATATGACATAACGTTTTAGTAATTTGAACATTTAAAAAAATTTCTTGTAGGTTTCCTTAGAATATTGTTAAAAAATTATCCCAAATTTTGCTCTTCCTATTTTCTGGCGCTTAAAATTCAATATCAATGTTCCTTATTCTAGGAAACACCTCAGATTTTCAAATCATTCCAACCCCAATTATTTCATTGGTATTAATTTTATTATTTTACGAGGAGAAAAAATAAATTTTAAACAATTTTAAAAATTAAAATTTCCATGATTCATGGGAAATTTATGACGCCGTGACCTATCATGTCAAGCGTAATTTCATTGCCCGTGCCAACCTCTAGTTTCTATACATTATTTTTGATGATTTTTATATAATTAAAGAATATTGAAGTCTTATAAAAAAACAATATTGTCATCATTTAATTTTAAAATTCTCATAAAATTCAAAATAAAAACTCATGATGGAAAGACGAGATACCTGAGTAAATACATATAGTCGTTATTTTAAGTTACCTCTTTGTCTTTTGTTTTCGGCTCGCGAGTTCAAGTGGTAATATACGTTTTTCCCTAGTAATTTAAATGATAATAATATTCAATTTAGGATATTTTGCTAAAACTAGCAACGATCGATAATTTCTAATATTTGTTTCATTTCCGCCTTTTTAATTATGAACAATCTTTAAAAATGTTTGGAAGGGAAGAAATATATTACTTACAAAATAAAAAACTTAAATTACTCAAAAAATTGAATGGCAAAAGACATGCAATAACTGGGCTTATAACCCCTCAATTAAATTTATGGGTGAAAACCCCTCAATTAAATTTATGGGTGAAAACCCCTACCTATGCAAGAGAAATTCTACATTATATTCTCTCCTCCGCCTACAAATAGTCCTTTTACTCTATTCAGATGTAGTGTTAAAAACCTAGATTTCGCCAATTTAAAAAAAAGGCTATATCAGGATTGGTCGATATTAAATAGCTTCACGATTTTGCCAGTAGAACCTTTCTGCCACTGCCATCCTTTGGCGAAATTTTGAGGCTTAAGTACTATTTTTAGCTACTTGATTTAGCCATTATTTTTAAATGAGCTAAACGAGGCTTTTAACAACATTGCTCACAGTCCCTTGTCAGTAACTTTGTTAGGATGGGGCATATAGTGACTCACCATGCATTCCTCATATTTTATATACTTCCCCTCGAAATCACACTAACTGTGAATTCAGAGTCAAGCCGTCTAAAAACTTTGGAGGGCCTTGGAAAAATATAGTTTTTTATGGTGCATTTTCAAATTATAGGTAGAATTACAATTTTTTGTTCTAGATAGAATTACCTCTTTTATATTAATGTTAGAAATTTGAAAAACGAGACTCCTCAGTTAAAAAACTAACCACACCGCCTGGTGTTTCAATTTTACAAGGAATTTGCATTGACCTAAGAGCTCAGTGAATGAGTTAGGAGATAATCGGGTGCTAACATAATCCTAAAAAAATATTTGGCAAAAGCGATATAATTTTAATAAATAAATAAAAGATCTCAATTATATTTTATACTAAACAGGGTATTGACTAAGTTGAAGATGAAATCTAATAACTTTCGTTAATCTTCTTATCATAAGCATAGTCAGGATTCTGTCAAAGAGGAGAGGTACTATTAGATATATTTTTCCCCTCAAATTTTATTGAAGGTCTTTAGGCCCACATGTTGCAGGCTTTCGGCCATATCACCTTTTTAAAAATTTGATTTTTATGTTTTTCATGAAAATTTTAATTGTAAGATATTATTTAATTATTACTTTTATTTAAAGCGAATTTCAGATAGGGTGGTATTTCCATCTTCCTTTACCTTTTCGCTACGCCTTTGCTAACTATATAGATGTTATATTATTTAACAATCTATAAAACTCAACTCACTTTTGTAAATTTGAATGCATAAAATATTTACTTGAAATAATAATAGCTATTTTATATAATATAGGTTAATTTTGTTTATTTTTTTTTAAATGTAATTAAATTAACAAAGCATGAAAAATAATGGATTCTAAATATACCAATTTTTACCGCTCAATGCCTACATTAAATAAATTTCTAGAACATCAAAATCTAAATTACATATTAAAAACAAAGTTATTGAAGATTAATTATATTTGGCAAATTTTTAAATGTCAAATTTTTAAATGTCAAATTTTATATACTAAAATCGATGAAAGCATAAACACATACCCTATTTGGATCTTGATTATTTGTTTGAGTCTATTAATCTGCGTTTCTAACATATATTTTTGGTTTATCCTGAACATGAAGCTACTAAAAATAAAATTCAGATCTTTAAAAATTTGCTGTGGTTTCAAATGTGTACCTGATGATCGTACCCTTTCTCCTAAAATCACAAAACAAAAGTGGAAAAAATTAAAAAAGAATCCCACCAGCCCTACCATTACTTACGTTCAAAAGTTATTGGTAAAAGAAGGTCGTGCAAAATCTCCTAATGAAAGTTTCAAGAAATTTGATAAAGCCGGAAGAACTGTTTCATTTGGTACGTTCGCTAACACCTACAGCAAGATGCACGTTTTTCTCAAAGGCACTAAAACAAAGGATCCCCTAGAATTAATAGATAAAAATGCGATAAAACAATTAAAGAGATTGAACAAAAAAAAGAGTGAGATATGGGCCAAGTCGGAACAACTCCGGATGCAAATAAAGGCACTTGAGGAAGAAGAAAAAAGGCTTGGCTGTGTCAAAAAGCTGCTCAAAAGATTTTGCCCCCTAAAGACGACTCAAAGGGGTGATATTAAAATAACACTTGTACATAAACCCAAGACATTAGAAATTAGTGAGAATGTAAGGGCTACAGATGACAAGGGTTATAGCAAAGCAACAATGGAGAGAATAAAATTCGACGAATCCATTATCTCTAATATCTCCACGATTTCCCCATTTGCACAAATATCTGATTCCTTGAACAATTTATACATTGCTAGTCCACAATTGCAGGATATATTGACCAGTTCACCTAGCGGCAAAATCATATTTAAGAATGACGGAAAAAGAAAGAAATCATTGCCTCCAATAATTCTAACCGATACTAACATACTTAATATTTCAAAAGCAAATGAAAACGTGATGCCTTCTTCTGAATAATTTTGTAAATCTTTTTTGCCGAACAAAAAAGACTAGTTTAAGTTTCTAATCATTGTAATGTTTTATTTATTTTATATATCAAATATAGAATATTAAAGTTATATATATATCTATAACGATTTTTAAAAAAAAATTTTAATAGCTAACATCAGACTTTATTTTAACCCCTAATTTACCTCAATCAATATGTTTTAAAATTATATTATATACAAAACTCTTACCGCCACTAAAGTCCCCTAATAAATTTTATAGACAATATATCGTAGATGAATTTGATTCTTTTAAATAATATTTCCACAATAAACTGAATATAGACATGAAAATAATATTTTGATTAATAAAGAAAAGAAGTGAGAAACATAATCATATTTGCAAGCTCTATTATATTAAATGAAAGGAGAGAATAATGATATTAGAAAGAGAAAGTTACCGCTATACGGAGCTTAAAAGGATTAAACTCATTCTATAAGCGCGAGCATCTGCATCCAATAGTGAGATGAAACTCCAATTTAACATTGGTTTTTTAAAATGTCATTTATAATAATCAGTTGTTCAAAATATTATTTATTCTTTTACCAAGATACAACATAATTCCCATGATATAAATACTTATACATGATAATCGATATACTTAAACTCATTTAGCATTGCATCCTCTATAAAATGAACTAGTTACCATTCTAGGAAAGGGACCTTACTCAAGGTACCCCCATCCCAGGGTAAAAGTGTTCCTCAATTTTGCTTCTCAATAATCATTAGTCTTTTAATTTACATGATTTTTTTTATATTGGTTAATCAGTTATCTACGATTACTTCCAAAATGGATTTTTAAATTTTACGTCTAAAACAGGCCTGTAAAGTCCGTCCATTTAGCAATAAAATTTTTTGCCAGGCCAGGTATATTACAGTGTTTTCAAAATTGCTCGTCCCATTACTAAACAATTTAATCAGGCCCGGCCCGTTAATTTGTGCGAATTTTCCTGCCATCACATTTTTAATATCTATTTTTTTACAATGTCAATTAAGGCTCTTATATCTGCCCTCTATGACTATCTATTTCTACAACAACCGTTTTATATATTAATTGAGTTTATATCTGTATTTAGTGTTGTTAAACGGCTCGTTTTGAGCCGATTTTTTAAAACAGAAAAATATCGCCTAAGCCTCGAGATTTCTATAATATATTACTAGACTTTTGTTCCTTCTATGAGCAAAATCTTCAGACTTGCGTAATATTTTTCTGGATGAAATATTGAGTTAGTCGTTTTTAAAAATCGGCTCAAAACGAGACGTTTAACACTATCTGTATTGTGCATTTGTAATTAAATAAATAAATTGTTTAATTTTTGTGAAGTTTACTCTATTATTTATCTATTTAGTATTTTACTTAAGCTCCTTAAATACAAAGAAATAAGTATATTATGTTATCTAATAATATTAATCAAAATATTTTAATGTCTGTGCTGACCTATTAATTTTACGAAAAATTAAAGATTTCTGATATTTATGTATAAATTGTCCGGCCTAGCCTTAATTTTTTATGAACAAATAGCCCGGTACAGTCCGTTATATTTTTGTCCGGCCTGTTATAATTTTTTAAAAAAAATTTCCAGGCCCGGGAAAATGCCGTATTTTATAAGCAAAATTTTTTATGTAAAGATTGCTATTGAAAGCTAATTTTTATTCTTATTTTTAAATAAACATACCTCCGTCTATTCCATAGATAGGTTGGGTAATTTACTATTAAATCCATAGTTTGGGTAAATTTACTATCAATTTTTTATAAATAAATCAAGTTTCGTAGCATAATATATTTTAAGTAAAATAAAATCTATCAAAAATTGCAAAAGCCATGAATCCCAACCATTTTTTATTTAATTATTAATAAATCAAAATTTTCAATTTAATTTGCATTTGAATAAAATTATTTTAAGCCTCACAAGAGAAAATGAATTTTCATAAATAATTTAAAATAATCTTTTTTTAAAAAAAAATTAAAAATTGACAATAATTAGAAGCAATTTTTATTTAGATTATTGTAAATTTGAATAGAAAAATTTTTAAAAAAATGTATAAATATCACGAAGAATGACAAATATGATATGAAAAAGGGGAAAAGTCAATTGTTTAACTGATAAAATTTATATTTATTCGGGACAATAATTATGAATATTCTAAAAATTTTTAATAAATGTAATGATAAAACAAATTTGGAAAGTAATTGCATAACTATAATATAAAATGATTATATTAGGTAAATATTTTTTAAATAATACTAATGTCTGAGCTATTAAAATTTTAATAAAAATACTTTAACAAATTAAAAGTAAATTAATATATTAACATTATATATAAATAACATAGCTAAATATTTTTTTAAATAATATTAAGATTTAAACTATGAATAACAAATTAAAAGACAATCAATATATTTATTATATATAAACATAGCAATAATAAAATTAGAAATATAGTGCATTGGGAAACATATATGATATATTATTTGTCAAATAGGGATTATGATAACTAGAAAATTAACAATAGTATTTAAATCCGAACGTTAAATTTTATTCCTTACAATACAATCAATAAATCCCTTTGATCCTCAAGCCGCTCGGATCAAACGGCGATTTCAAATGGATATTGGCCTTGTACCTGCGACCAAAGGATTCGATTTCATAAAAATCGGCGCTGGTGAGATAATGGTTGTCGATGAATGTGGTGGGTATGTCGGAAGTCGCCTCTTTCGATGCAACGCCTTAATTTAAATAATATACAATAAAAATTCTATAGCTATACTCTTTTGGGAATATTGAGAAAAAAGTCTATGACTCTTTTTAATGCATATACTCTTCCACTATTGGTTCATTAATCCCTTAAGCTTCTTTTTGTTATATTATATATATATTCTCGATTCCAAACGATTTCCTATCTATATTATCAATTAAAATTTTCGTCAGAAATAGTTCCATACCCTGCCATAATCTTATGACAAAAAAAGTTTTATTGATTTGACAAAACCTTCAATAAATTTTAGGGAAGGTGAATGCACATATCCAAATCCCACGGACTTCTCTAAGCTAAACGCGTAGCCCGCCCGACGCAAGAACCCCACACATTCCTGGCCATTTCTCCAAATCGTTTCCAAGCCGAATAACGGAACTTTTCTATAAATTTGTAAGAACTATTGACGTTATCTAGATTAAATACCTGAAAAATATTTCCGCCTGAGCCTCTCCACCGAAACACGGTAGTAAAAAATCTTTAGGGGCCCAACTTTATTATAAATGGAATGGAAATACCTCTCAAAGACATAATATTTGTATATTCTCTAATATATTACGATTATTTATTATGTTACATAAATAACCGATAATTTATTGTTTATCTGGTTTACTCTATTTATTACAAAATAATAAAGTATGATATGAAAATGAATGATATATTTGCCGCCTATTGATTTTTAATAAAATGTAATTTTTTCTACATTGTGTTCGGGCAAAAAAAAAGTAATATAATTGATGATGTTAAGGCTAGTTGGCAGACCTCTAATCTAGATTTTTCTGAAAGTAAAGTATAAATCTTCAATTATAACTTGCTGACGATAACGGAACAACGTAAATTAAGGATTTGGATGTACATATATATAAAATCAAAGGTGGTGACTTATAAAAAATCTCTATGGGGGCTAAAATTTTCCATAAAAAGAAGTAAATTTTTTTAACTATGAATAGCTCAGAATATTCGTTTTAAAAAAAAATATCGATAAAAAATGCGTGAATTTTAATCGATAAAAATAAATTTTTTCTTTTAAAAATGGAAACTCAGTCACTTCATAGTGATTTTTCACAATATTGTTGTATTTTTAATTGTTTAAATATTTAAAAGTATGTTTTTTTAAAAAAAAATTCAAAATAGATGGTAAATTACTTATAATATAAATTATTATGTCATTAAGTAAATTTATAGTACTTTCATATAAACTATATTAATATACAATATTATATATATATTAGTAATAAGGAGAAAAAAAACAAAAAGATAGGGGGGGGGGCATTAAAAAGTATTGAGGTTAAAACGGATCATCATGTGGAATGAGACTGCCTATGAAGCTAATATAATTTGCCTTGTGTATCGCTATGGCGAGTCTTTGTCTTAAGAAGAAGCCTTCGCGGGGTGTTATTTAAATATTTTAGACACATAAATCCAATAATCTCTCAACTATATAAATCACAGTTTTTCTTATTGTAATAGCATTTTTGTACAAATAATTGTTTCAATATAAATTTTTTAAGACTGGCTTAACAATTAGGGTAGTCGAGGTTGTTGGATCACAACGGAACCTGGGCTATATATGGACCTACCTACTTTTACATGCATTTTTATAATTATTTTTCAGTTATACAATTATAATTTTAAATAATAGCAGACAAAAAAATACGATGATTGCCTTATTTTAAATTTATGCCAATTATAATAAGGATATGTATAATTTTTCAAAATATAAATGACCGTTTTTTGTGTTTTATTTTATTCTTTTTACAATATCTAAGGTTAATATAATATATTTTGTCAGCTAAATAAGATTGTCATATTGTTTTATTTAAATTACACCCCCCTTAACCTATATTTAATTTTTTAAGCAATTCAATGTTCAAATTATATTATATAAACATGAAAGCGGCAATTAAACATAATTATTTATAAGTTTTCTTATTAAATAAAGGAAATATTATTAAATAGCACTAAAATAAAGACGAAATAGGAACTGCTTCATCCTTTGAAGAAAGAAAGAAAGAAAGAGAGAACTTTTTTGTTCTGACCAATTTTCCAGTGTAAAAATTCATTATCAGTAAAAATTCTGCATAATATAATAATAATATAGTTAAGAAAAGTAAATTGTAATTTGTGTTCAATTAGAATATTTGTTATTAAAATTTGAAATTACAAAATTAGCTGTAGGGCGAGATCAAGTCAGAATTCACATAAAAATGTGAGGAAATTCTTTGATAATGAATTAATAGAGGATTATCAATTCAATGATCAAGAATTAAAATCGAAAATTTATTTATTATGTGGTAAGTTTTAATGTTCATATTAATCTTTTATATAAACGTTTTCTAAGGTTGAAATCTGTCGAGAGTAATTTATAAGATCATTTAGTGGCGTAGACAAAGGGAAGGGGGGGGGGGGGGGGGGGGGTTGGGTTGAAACCCCTTCCCCATAACCTCCGAAAAAAAAAATTTTTTAGCTATAAAAATTTTTTTTTTAATTTTTTTCTTATTGCGAATAATTTTATTTAAAATTTATAAATAAAATTATATAAGATATGAAAATGAAATATATTTAAAAAAACAAATAAGAATTTTCAATTTTAAATGATAACATGGTTTAAAAATATATATGAAAAATTATATGTAAAATATTAAATAACAATAAAAATATATTGTAAAATATCAGAGTTGTTAAAGTATCTAGATATAAAAATATAGTATCTGTATCTAGATAGATTTTTTAGAAAGGTATCTGTATCTGTATCTGTATCTAGATATTTTTTTAGAGGTATCTGTATCTGTTTTAGATACTTTTTAAGATATATTTTATATACCCCTTTTTTTATTATAAATAAAAATATTTGACTGTAAAATTTATTTTATTTCATCTGTTTACCACTCTTAGATGCCTTACTTAAAGGGATTGAGGATAGGTAAATTAATATAATAAATTAAAAATATTTAATAATTCTAGGTTTATTGTGACCTTATTTGAAGATGATAATATTATAGCAACCATGCTCCACCCTTTTTTTAAACTTGATTGGGCATGGTTGCAAATGGAAGAAAATCTTAATAAAAAAAACAATTGATACAAAGATAAGCTGGTGAATTATCAAAGTCATCAACTGACTGCAAGCAAATAACCTGCCAAAAAAAACAAATAATTTAATTTCAGATTTTTTTCAGTACTCTACAGCAGATATAATTTCTAATAATGATTTAAATTTTGATAATCAACAAATTTTAAATAATTTTTCCAAAAATGAATGTAGAGATTTTAGCATTTTTAAAGAATACCCTGATATAAAATTGTTATTTATTAAATATAACACTACAATTCCTTCAAGCGCCCCTGTGGAAAGACTATTTAGTGTTGCTAAAAATGTCTTTACAGATAAACGAGGATGTCTAAATGATCAAAATTTTGAAAATATTTTATTACTGAAATCTAATAATTATTTATAATTATTTAATCATATATTTTCATATATTATATTAAAATCATTATTTTAGTTATATTCTGATAAATGTTAAATCGCGTCAATAAATTTTTTAGCTCATTTCATGAATTTTCACAATATAATATTAATTTAGCTTTATGCAAACCTATAAGAGCATAATAAAAAATGTATCTGTATCTTGATAACTTTTTAAACGCTGTATCTGTATCTAGATAACTTTTGAGACTATGTATCTGAATCTAGATCCATTTAAAAAGTATCTTTTAACAACACTGTAAAATATTAAATAACAATAAAAATATATTGTAAATTTTTTCTAGCATAGTTAAATTAGGTATTTATAAATTTAATAATAAAATTTATATTGTTAAACTAATTAGATTTTAAAAATTTTAATTAATTTTTTATAATTTTTAAATAAAAGAAAAATTATTTTAATTTGGTAAATATAATGAGAAAGTAAAGGTGATAACTAATGTTTGGGATTAAAAATTTTAAACCTAGAGTAGTTTCTATATAGTCCAATCGCTTAAATATTGATGCATCTACGATTGAGGATTTTTATAAAATAAATTATTTCAATTAAAGGAAGGATTTTATCACGTCAATTCGGCGCGGAAAATTAGGCGCACGACAATTCGGCGCAGAAAACTGGGCGCGGCGTCAATTCGGCGCATCGTCAATTCAACGCGGCAACAACTCGGCGTAACGTCAATTCGGCGCGGCGTCACGGCGCGTATCTAATACAGTTGCAATTTATTATAAATTTATTAGTATAAAAAAAAGGATGATTAAATAGAAATGATTTTGAATGTTGGTCATATTAATTATTTCTTCGTATTTTTTTTTACAAAAATCTCAATTTTATTTACTAAATATGTAATATCATTAAAAAAAATTAACAACCAATATTTATACCTATTTCCTTGCTGGACCAATTTACCACATTATAAGGTAGGGGAGACTGGGGTTAGTCGGACCGATTTTTACAAAATTTAGCTCCTGATTTTTTTAGATAATATAAAAAATAATATATGATTAGATACCTCCTAAAACTATACTCTATAAAGGTACCTTATAAAAATTTTAAAGATATAATCATTTTTTTTAAATTTTACTTTTTGAAAAAGTAAAAATAATATCCAAAAAGCCCCAATAGCGGGGTGAGGTAAATTCAAGGGGCTTCCTAAATCATTGGTTTTTTTGGCCATAATAAATTGAAATGCATTTTTATTTATTAATAATGATACGTATAGAATAATTTTATTGTTTTATTGTTAAAAATATCATAATACTTATAAATTGAAGCAAATTATATATAAAAATTGAAACTTAATTTAGGTTAATTTAATAAACATTTTGGACATAAAGGAGATATTATGATTTCTTAGCATAAATCCTAAACACCAATCATAAACAGCCATGAAATTGCCTTTGTGCGTTAATTCGTTTTTGATTATTTTATAATAGAAAAAATTAGTTAAACATAATATATATTTCAAATGATTAATAGAATTATTTTAAGGATTTTTAATAAATCTAAAAAATGAATCAGTCTTAATTTGAATTTTATTGGATCAACATTAGTGTTGTTAAACGTCCGATTTGGGTCGATTAAGATTTTAGCCATAATAACATGTAAGATTAGAGATAGAAGTCCAAAATTTTTTTACATTTAGCGCAAAATCTCGCTTACATAATATTGGCTACTAATCAAAATAGGGGAGACTGGGGTTAGGTACCGGGGCTTGGCAAACCACTTAATCTCATCTTAAAATTAAATACACCAGAAGGTTAAAATTTTATCATAATATAGTTTTTATTAATTTACGTCTATAGACAAAAAATCTTTTGAAATAATTATTAAAAATTTTATTTAAGAAATAAAATATTGATGAAGTTTTTATAATTTGGGAAAGTTATATGAGT